CTAATTTTTAATTATAGACTTTGTTTTGATAATTTTAGCTTTTGTTTTAATTGTTTTAACATTTCAGCAGGATTTATATTTTCACAGAAAATGCAAATTTTTCAAGTTAGCATTTAACACTGGGATTTTTTTGTACTTATGTTCCAGTCCTGTAGCAGTACTGATTATGTGTTCTTAAACTGTGTCAAAAGGTTTAGTCATATCTAACCAAACACTGGTTTCCACCTTTTGGGTTTTAATCACTGAAATTTCCCCTAACTTGTCAAATCTTTTTACAAAGTTTGAAAAAATTGACAACTTTCCACTGTTGAAATGTTCAAACTTGTTAAAACTTCAATAGATTTTTATACAAAATGTGCTTCGTAAGTCTGCTTGGGTTGGTTTAAATTGTTTAAATGACCTAAATAAGTTCAGTGCTTGTTTTGTTGTCCAATCACTTATAGATTTTTTTTGTTGATTAAAGAAAAACATGTAAACAAAGTATAAATATAGATTTTTAACAACCCGTTCCCTTTTCTTACTTTCTTTACTCTAGTTTTCATTGTGTTGATGCAGTAAATGCATGTTTTTCATAAAGATTAACATGCTCACCAAAGACACCAAAATCCTCAAAGACATCCATCCATCCATCCATCCATTATCTTTACCCGTTTGTTCCATTTTGGGTCACGGGGGTCACTGGTGCCCATGTCCAGCAATCACTGTGTGAGGGACGGGGGACACCCTGGACGGGTCGCAAGTCCATCACAGGGCCACATAGAGACAAACAACCATTCACTCTCTCATTCACACCTAGGGACAATTTAGAGTTACCAATCAGCCTAACATGCATGTTTTTGGTCTGTGGGAGGAAACCGGAGCACCCGGAGAAAACCCACGCATGCACGGAGAGAACATGCAAACTCCACCCAGAAAGGCCCCTGGACCGGGGTTTGAACCAAGGACCTGCTCCCTGAGAGGCAGCAGCTCTACCAGTTGCGCCACCGTGCTGCCCATTCCTCAAAGACAGTGAAAACAATATTATTTATGTATGTGGTTAAAAAAGGTGCAAACTACAGCTATTATAAATTAAATTTTGAGAAAATATACTGAAATGTTTATTTTTTTAATCTTTTTAAAGCCATGGAGTCCAATCAAGAACAACTGGTTTGCGTTTTTGTCCTCGTTCACTTTGAAAGCCACATGTAGAAATTAGGAAGGAGATGATTAATAAAATACAAACTGAACGAGGTGATCATGAGGGTGCTTCAATGGAGCACATGTTTAAGTAGCACCAAGCACAGCAAATTTAACAACAATAACTGATTTTGATTTTATGCATATGTGAGATTGAAAATGAGAGGACAGGGCAGCATTTTTGCTTATTATGATTTAGAAAATGATACGTGATTAAACATTAAATGACTAACTTTACAAAGCAGGATGTTCTCTCTTTCTTCATTTCTTAAAAAAGAGAAAGACTCATGTTCAGGCTGCTCTTTAATACACTGTATTAAACTTACATTGTTATCCCTTAGCATGCATCTAAGATCCTTGTATACTGTTTCTTCTTTTTATACTTTATATTCAGTGGTATATGTGATACGCTGGTATACGGAGTATACCCAATAGAAAAGCTTGGGAATTCCAGTATACCCACTTAAAAGTGCCCAATAATACGAGCCCATGTCATGTATCATTGGCAATGATACATGACATGGGCATGTGTCATTGTCAACAGGTTTGGAACATTTTATAGACACATTGAGTTGGTGCACCCTGTTTTTGTATAATTGATACTTCTGTACTTACGATTTAACACTTGAACATGTTTGGCTTTGATACTGTTTTATAGATTCTGTAACATGCTTTTAATAGAGGCAACTATTCTACAAATGTTTGTTGTACATTTATTCAAATAAAAGTATCAGAGAAATTTTGAAATGTTCAATATGCTTAAAAATCAAAATAAGGTAACAGTTACATTGCACTGTACTTTGGTTTCTAAGCACAGTAAACCCACTACATAAATGTAGACTACACCACTGTTTATATTGTTGCTACTTTTTGGGTGGGACCTAATTTTGTTCCACCTCATGTGATGCGAATGACAACAAAGAAGCTTGAGAAAACTCCTGGATGAGTCCCATCAAGAGAAACCAGAGGTTCGTAATGTCAGGCTCCTTCATGTGTGTGAATGTTTGAGGTGTGTTCCTCCTCACTCCTATGAACACATCTGATTGGTTTGTTCTGAACACATCTGATTGGTTTGTTCTGAACACATCTGATTGGTTTGTTCTGAACACATCTGATTGGTTTGTTCTCCTGCGAGTGGAATGTTTGAAGATGTGTTCTGAGAGCAATGGCTCCCAGAGCTGGTTTCACATGAACACGATAATGAAAAATATGTAAATCTCCCTCTTTACCGTAATTGGTCTGGGACCTATTGTTTGCTTTGTGCCTTTTGTGATGTAAATATTTTAGTTTTGGGGTTCCCTATAAAGATGGGCATGAAAAATTGCCGTAGATACTTCCATGTCATCACCCCCGCTCCTCTCCATGGTTTCACCTTCCTCCAATGGAAGTAAGTGAATTCTCCCAGCAGCTCTGAAGACAAGTTTACATGAAAATCACAGCACTGAGGGGGATCGACCTTCTTCTGATCTTCTGTGCATCTTTTAATGCATGCCTCGCTATAATGGGGCTTGGTTGCACGCCTGTAATTCGCCCATTCATCAGGATAATCTGACATCAAGTCCTGTCATGTCTAAACCGTGTCCAGCATACAAAAGGGGAAACTAAAACTGTTTAGTCAAAAACAATGACAAAAATAAGAACTTAGATTAAAGCTAGTTTCATTTTTGACCATTTTTTCATGAAGCCAAGAGAATAAAACACAATAAATTTGCACAAAATTTTATTGATTAAATGTGCAAAATTCCCTTTTTAATTTAAAATGAAAAAGAGACAGAAGTTGTAAAACAATAACATTATTTAAAACAGCCATAGACTGTGGACAATCAAATGTTTAAGCAAACAAATGTGTCAAAAGAAGAAATTATAACATAGACAAAATATTTAAAAAAATCAAATAAGGGGGAGGATGAAAGCAATTTCTAAAATGTAAAAAAAATATAAATAAAAAAAAATGGTGTCGTACTTCCATATTTGGACCTGGCAAATGTTAGTTCTACCTTTAAGATGGGTGATGAACCTGTTAGCCTTACAGACATCTCACTTTTGTAAATTTTTAAACAATTGTCAATCATGTTGAAAATGTTCAGTGTGATGAACACTGTGTGGCTTTTTGAAAGGAACATGCTTTTTTAACGAAAATATTTGAACTGATGAAGTTCTGTCATTTGAAACGGTATTCAGATTAAAAAACTTTTCTGTGCCTTGTTTAGTATACTGTATAAAGTACATAAATATGGGATGATCAGTAAAATAAACTGAGCTCAATTTTTGTTTTAAAGATAGAAAACAGGGAATATGTGTTAATGGTGAAAAATCTTGTTTAAATGTTAATAGTGGTGTCCCTCAGGGGTCTGTTCTTAGGCCTGCATTATTATTATAATTTTTCCTTTAATTAACACATTTCCCATCATTCAATTTTCTCTTTAGTTGTTCATCAAGCATTACAAGAAGACTTTAATAATTTACGAACGTGGTCAAATGAGTGGTTGAAGCTAAATGTAAAGTGCTGCATGTAGAAAAATAAAAATCCTTGTTATGATTAATAATGAATGAAGTCAGTAAGCAAAGAGAAAGATTTGGGGGTTTGTGTATGCTGACTGAATATGATTTTAAGTACTGTATATTGTCAAGGCTGCAATGTTTTAGGTATGATCAATATAATACAATATACTTCCTTTGAAAAATAAAGATATAGACTTAGGGACTGTCTGTAATGCTTTTTAAATGGTAATGCGTTTTAAATTAACTATGATGCATTTTACAATGCAACTAATTGATTCAATACTATTTTATATTATTTATACTATATATAATTCATACTACTATATGTTGTACCAGCTTTGAATTGTATTTAGGCTTTGAGTGCATCACCAATCTGCTCTTTTCCCTCACAAATAAATTATTAGTTAAGTAATTTTTATTTAACTTTTTAAAACAGTATTATTATAAATCAACTTTGAATTAAAGGTAAAAAAATCACTTAAAGCCACTGTCTGCAATTAATCCCTCAGCTGTTAAAATGTATTGTTTAAATCCACTTTTCTTGAGTCTGAATGTGATCCTGTGTAATGTTTGCTTTAAAGATTTACTTCCAAATTGTTTTCAAGTTTCCTAAATCATTAAGTTTGCCTGTTGACCTGCATCACGACCACCGGAGCGGAGGAGCCCCCCCACACCGCCTCGAGCCTCCGGGCCTTGACCCTGACCCTTCAGGACCATCTGAGGCCCCGTCAGTAAAAACACAGTTCATGATCCACGCTTTAGCAGACAGAGTGTGACCGGGCCCGGTTTGCTCCCGGTTTGGACACATGGGACAAAACCCGAGGAGAAGGAGGAGAAGGAGGAGAAGGGGCTTGAATGGCATAGCACCGAGGAGGCCGAGGGAGAGCAAAAAGGAGGCGGTGTGCCTTTGTAGTCGTGGAGGAATGCGGAAATGTCCCCGCTCCGTGTCAAACCTCTCTGAAGGGGGTCAGGCCACATTCAGCCGGCGTGGGAAAGCCAGCCAGAGACGGAGCTCACACGGGCCGCGGCAGTTGCACGAGCCCATCCGCGAGCACGGCCTATATGTGCGCGAGGAGGAGAAAAGAAAGGAGGAAAACCCAAAGAGGAGCGTGCTTTTCAGAAAAAAAAAGGGCCGTATCACGCGTTTGCCTTTGTCCCATATGACCCCCCACCATACACACCCAAGCAATCCAAGTACACACCCCCTTCCACACAAGCTGCAACGAGCGCGCGCGCGTGTGTGTGCGTGCGTGTGCGCCAGTTTTCGTCCAGCCCTCCCCTGGTTTGAGAAGCGTCTGCGCTCCGGTGCAGTCTGAAGGGATGGGGGGTTAGAGCCTGCAACGTCAACTACCTGTGTGGCCCCCGCGTGGAGGACGGTGGACAGCGGATGCGTTTCATGGAGGACTTTTTACTGGAGACCCTGAACGCCTCCTCAGCATTTTATTGGACATGCTGCCGACGTTACATTTCACTGACCACACAAGGTAATACAAATAATAATAATAATAATAATAATAATAAATAAAATTGGGGTTATTTTGTGCGGAATTATACAAAATAAATGTCTGGAAACGCTGCTTTACGGGGAAATGTCTCAAACAGCTGCACGAGTAATTACACTTTCATATATAATTTAGGCCATATTTTTAAATTATTATCGAGTCCACGCTCTAATAAATTGGAAAAAATTCAGAGAAGCCGTCCAGGCTGTTAGAAACATCATTAAAACTCGCTTAACGTGCCGTTTGACGCATTTCTAGAGGTTTTCGAGGCAGAAAGTGAGTGTGAGGTGTTTTAAATGGATTTGTTGCTGTAGGAAGTTGAAACAATGCAGCACGTGCTCACAGTTTGGGTCCCAAACTGAAACTCTTGACACGCGCAAAGCTGCTCAGCTCGCGCATTGATTTGCACACCTGAACCAGTCTCTTGTATCAGTCGTGCACAGTTTCTGCTCGTCTCGGGATAAATTTAAAAAAGTTTTTTTTTTTAATTATTATTATTTTACGAGAAGAACGTGAACTTTAACTAACGTCTCAACGAGTGCGCGAGACAGTTTGTTTACTGCAGAGCTAGCTTAAATGAGAGACGAAATGCGGCTAATTGAACTTGTTTTATTTTATTATTGTGTGTTAGCTGTAGGAGGACATGAGTTGTAATGCGTAACAGGAGGAGGAGTGGAAGCCGGGGACGCAGCGGAGGGTCTTTTTTCTCTCCTGATAGTCGGAATAAAACGTGACAGTCGCGTTAATGTCTACAAAGATGGTCTCTTCTTCCATCTGTGTCTCCCTGTCATCTAGGCATCGCACGTGCCAACGCTTTTCTGCGAATATGACTTTGTGAGAAACTCTCTGGCTCGTCGCCCTCGCCGGGATTCCCCGTAATATTTTCAACAAGAGACACGCAAGGAGGAGGGGAGAGAAGAACATTGAGCCAAAATGGACAAAGAAAGTATTGGCACTCAGTACGAGCCCGTGGCTGAGATTGGAGAAGGCGCTTATGGGAAAGTGTACAAGGCCAGAGACTTGAAGAACGGGGGGCGCTTTGTAGCCCTGAAAAGAGTTCGGGTCCAGACGGAGGAAGAGGGCATGCCTCTCTCCACCATCCGGGAGGTGGCGGTACTGAGGCAGCTGGAGGCCTTTGAGCACCCCAATGTTGTCAGGTGAGTGGAGGGGCTGAGGTGGGCAGCCACACTGGTGTTAATGGGAGGGGCAGTATTTAGAGAAAAATCATTTAATTCATTATAGTCTACAGCAGGGGTCTGCAACCTGCGGCTCTGGGGCCACATGTGGCTCTTTGGTACCTCTGCAGCGGCTCTTTCAGGCTTTGACCAGTTCAGTTTATTTATACAACTCCAAGTTACAACAGAAGTCGTCTCAGGGCACTGAACAGAAACATTCATGTATATAAAACAAAGTTAACCTGAGGAGCAGACTGCTTTGAGTTTAACTCCATCACAGACTCATGTTCAGCAAGCATGAAGGCGACAGTGGAAAGGAAAAACTCCCTCATGAGGAAGAGACCTTTAGCAGAACCAGGCTCAAGACAAGTGGCCTTCTGCTTCAACCAGCTGGGTTTGAGAGGAACAGGGAGGAGGAACAGATACACAATGGCAGGTCGAGAATCACATGTTAAGATAGAAATAGTATCAAATGGAAACTATTCAGTTTTAAAAATTCATTTAAGTAAATGAGGTTAAAAAAATGGTTGTAAGCTCAATCATCCAGGTAGATAATTTTTAAATTTTTTATTTAGAAATGTATTCATTTCATTAAAAACAAAATAACTATATACAATAGAAAACAAAAATATGTATACAATAATCACAAAAATGGTTAAATCATTTTATCTGGATCAGTTTATTTAAGGGAGAAATGTTTAGTCTTCCATCCAGAAGACTTCATCAGTCTGTGGCCTGCCAACCAGATCTATCCCATAAGTAGCCTTCTGTGCTTCAAGCCTGTTGGAATCTCAGAAGCAGGCTTTTAACACATGCATCTGTCCAAAACAATCAATCATCATGTATAACAATCAAATATTTTAGGCCAGATGGCTGACTTGCTACTCACAGAAACAGCCTGAGGACACCAAGACCAAAATGGTCCAGAAAAAAGCTGTGTAAGCTCAATCATCCAGGTAGATGACAACAAACAAGGTTAAATTATGTCATCTGGACCAGTTTATTTAAAGGAGAAACGTTTTGTCTTCCATCCAGAAGACCCCAGATATGTTGATCTGGCCCCACTGGCCGGAAAAGCCATCTCCAACAAACTTGTAGTGGTCCATGGGCCACCATACCATACAACTTTATTTATAAAGCACTTAAAATAGCAACAAGGCCAACCAAAGTGCTGTAAAACAAAAACAAGCAAAGGACACAGGATAAAATACATAGATCCAAATACATAAAGATAAGAACTAAATGAGTAACATTATACACTGCCTGGCCAAAAAAAAAAAGGTCACACACTAATATTTAGTTGGACCTCCTTTAGCTTTGATTACATCATGCATTCACTGTGGCATTGTTTCAATAAACTTCTGCAATGTCACAAGATCTGTTTCATCCAGTGTTGCATTAAGTTTTCACCAAGATCTTGCATTGATGACTAGACATGATGGGTGCATCACTTCACCTGCCTCTCTTCTTACCCTGATGGGCCCATTACTCTGGAACAGGGTCAATCTGGACTCATCAGATCACATGACCTCCTTCCATTGCTCCAGAGTCCAATCTTTATGCTCCCTAGCAAATTGAAGCTTTTTTTTTTTCAGTTAGCCTCACTGGTTAGTGGTTTTCTTAAGGTTACACAGATGTTCAGTCCCAATCCCTTGACTTTCCTTCACATTGTGTGTGTGGAAATGTTCTTACTTTCACTATTAAACACAGCCCTGAGTGCTGCTGTTGTTTTTCTTCTATTTGATTTCACCAAACGTTTAAGAGATCACGATCATTAAGGATTTTTTTCCGGCCACATTTCTTCCTGGAAGACGATGGGCCCCCACTGTCCTTACAGTTTTAATAATGCGTTGGACAGTTCTTAACCCAGTTTTAGTAGTTTCTTCAATCTCCTTAGATGTTTTCTCTGCTTGATACCAATGATTTGACCCTTCTTCTCAAACAGACGGACATCTTTTCCGTGACCACACGATGTGTCTTTCAACGTGGTTGTTAAAGAAATGAGAAGCAACTCATTGCACCAGTTGAGGTTAAACAACTTGTTGCAGCTGAAAGATAATCGTCCATGCAGTAATTATCTAATAGGAGGCTCGGACCTATTTGCTTAGTTAAATCCAGGTGGCAACTTTTTTTGGGGCCAGGCAGTAGGGATGCACAATATTATCGGCATCGGCCGATATTAACGTTAAATTTCAATATCGGACATCAGCCATTCCATTAAAATAACTCTCCAATATAAAAGGCGCTGTTTTTGCCTACAGCGGCAGCACAACGTGATGACGTTGCAGTAGCAGCGCAATGCAATGGCGTCACGTGCGTCTACCCAATCTCACGGCGGAGAGAAAAATTCAAAATGTCGGCCGTGTGGAAGTTTTATTTTTCGTTGGTGAGGATGTCGGATTCCCAAGATTTTTGGACTACGTTGAGCCTCGCTACATCGTCCGCAGTCGGAGATATTTTTCAGACGTAACTTTACCCGAGTTACAAGCCGTCGTTTCCAACGTCATTGAGAAACTTAATAGCTGATGGGACGTCTTGTTGGGTGAGTTTTACCACAGACATTTTGTACGACGTGTTAGCCCTGTTAGCATGATCAAGACTTTTCATTTAATATAAGTCAAAGTGCTATACATATCATATGGCTGTTACTGAATATATGTCACCAGCTTTTTGTAGCAAATAAGCCTAAGAGGTCTATGCTCTGACAAAGGAACCTATATAAAATATCGGTATCCGCATCGGTTATCAGCCGAATAAGTTTTAACATATCGACATATCGGATATCGGCCAAAAATCCAATGTCGTGCGTCCCTACCAGGCAGTGTAGAATACAGGCAAGTTAAAATCAACTTGCACCGTGTCAAAAGCCTGGGAATAAAAGTGAGTTTTCAAACGAGACTTAAAAACGGGAGGGACACGCCTGACACGCAGTGGCAACTCATTCCTGTTTTGGACCTTAGATAGAGAACTTTACTAATTGGATTTTCTGTTTATGCGAATGTTCCTGTAAAGTGTCCTGAGACAACTTCGTTGTAATTTGACACA